TTGACATTGGTGTAGAAATGAATCGTGGCTCTTGCTCTCCATGATCTGGTGAGAGAGACCATCCTGAAATTGTTATAAGATGGGGTAAAAGGTTACATGTGCATAAAGCCAGGGGCAGTGGGCCAAGCTCACTTTTGTTCCTCATTCTGAGCCGTACATATGGGTCAGCCATCCCTCCCCCCAGCCCCGACACATACACACACCAGCCACATTGGTTCTCACTCGGCGAGGGAGTTAGGTGTGTTTGGGACCCTGGTCCTCAGGCAATGTGAGATGGGCAGAGGGAGAGACAACAAGCAACTGATACCAACACAAACACACATCACCTTTCATCCACAGCAAAAGCCTACCTCAGGGTTCCGGAGGTGGCAGTGGTGTGAGCTTCTTGTCACTGTCTTCTATGTTATTGGGATTTTCTTCACAAGAAGAATGTAGACATATATTATTTGTATAGGTAAAAGAATTTAAAAGATATACAGCATAATTAGTCTTCGTCTCTAGGCTATCCAAAGACTTATGTCCTTTCATATCGTGTGTAAGTTATTGCAGCTTGATTTTTTTCAAGAAGGAAGACATGCCTTGTATTGTACGTGGCAGTGGCCTATAAAATATTTTTGGCCTCTCTTGATCATTGCAGGGGTTTCTAGTTTCTTTGACTGTTCAGCCTTCAAATTTTGGGTCACAATGAAAGCATGGTCCAAAAAGGGTGAAAGCATGGTCCTAAGCCTGATCTAGAAAACTGAGCTGCAGGTTAAAAGCATGAGTCATGATGGCATTCCATTTTAAAATACATATTTAAGTTTTGAAAATAGTAACAAATTCTCAAGTAAGCGGACCTTTTTATCTGGATGCGGGGACTCAAGTAGCCACATAAAACAGGTTGCTGGCTATTTTTTAAAGTTTTTGGTGCCTCAGCAAAGTGGCATTTTTCTGCAAAGAAGGCACAAGAGTAGCAAAGAATGGCACAGACAAAATCCCTTAGAAACTCTCCTGGACTCTGGAGTAATCGGGCCACTGACCTAAATAAGGGCAGGAATTCGCCTAGTACAACAAGCTCCAGCTGCCAGGACAGTGAATTGAGGTCACTCAGTGTTCCATTCACATGCTGGCCCTGTGTGCATTCAGCCCCCAGGAGATGTGGGGGCCCCTGTCCCACACCAGCCAGAGCACCCCAGCCCCACCCACACAAGGCTGCTGGGTGATAGCAGGGCTAAATCCCTCATGGAGACACTGGCAAGACATAGCATTTTATCATAAGAACCCCCCAAAATGACGGAGTCTCATTGGACTTCAAGACTCAGTCAAATTGAATAATGCAAAGTGGACTGCTTACAGCTGTGCTGTCCAGCCAAAATACAATGTGAGTCGTGCCTGCAATTTAAAATTTTCTGATAGCACATTTTAAAAGGTCAGAAAAAACAGGAGTGCTGGCTTTTTACAAGCCTCGAATCCCAGCACTGGGGAGGCTGAGGCCGAAGGATCGTGAGTTTGAGGTCAGCCTGCGCTGCATAGTGGGACCCTGGGTCAAAAAACAAAATAAATAAATAAATACAGGTCAGAAGAAACAGATGACATTCACCTTAATATTTTTTATTTCACCCAGTATATCCAATGTGTGAACATTTAGGCACACAATCAATATAAAATTATTAAGGAAGTGTTTGACCTTCTTTTTGGGAACATTTTGAAACCCTATGTATATTTTACTTGAATTAATAGCTTGTCTCAAGTTCAGACTGGACACATTTCAAGTGCCCAGAAGCCATGTGTGACTGGTGGCTGCCCTGTTGGACTGAGCGTTTCTAAGAACCCCATCACCTGAGCACCTTACGAAGTGGGGTGGGGAAGCAGTAAGACTGTTGTCTGGGCCTGTGAAATCATGCATCATTTGATGATGGAGCCTCATGATATTTATGTGCCATTTTGTAAAGACGCTTTAAAGTTCAGCAAGTTGTAGGTAATGATAGTTGTTTACATTGTCACAGAGCTTTTCTGTGTGTAAACACTTGCATATGTTCTCTGTGAGAGGCAGGGAGGTACCATTCTTTTGGTACACATTATTGGAGAGTCTTCCGAGTGCTAGTCCTGATTCACAGAAGTAACTCAGATCCTAGTGGAAGAGAAAAACATGTCATCATGTTTAGAACAGTAGGGGGAAGATGCGAGGGGCTGTGGAAACTCAAAAGAAAGACCTTCATCTGCCCGAGGTGTGAGGGGAGGGTCTTCTAATGAGGCGATTGAAGTAGAATATTCAGAACGAGAACCTTTGCTAAGTAAGGAAGTGGGGAGGGGGATGCATAGCTTGAACACTGTCCATTCAGGGGAGAACTGAACTTGGCATGTGCATTTAAAAGCCCAGCAGGTTAGCTACCTGTTTGCAATCCCGCTTGGTGTTCATGAAGAGGAGCCAGGGCCCCAGGAGTCACCCTGGAGCTAGTCACCCTGGAGCAGCTGTTCATCTGGAAAAGGGGATCCCCTGGGCATGGTCTTCATGAAGGGATGGGTGTGGGAGGGGTCAGGCAGCCTTAATTCCAAGGTCTTTTCTGTCCTGAAGCTACCATCTTGTTGTTTGGAAATCTGAAGTAAGAATTTTTCGCCTGCCATTCTGCATGTCATCAGGCCAAAGTTCAGCAGGGGTGGGGGCCTTAAGGTGCTGCTCATAGAGTGTTTCTGTCACACTCATGCTTGAATGTTTTAGACCCCTGATAGATGGGCTTTCCATCTGGAACCTCACTGAAGGTTCTTAAATGCAGACAGGGATCTGGGCTTTTAACTTCTGTCCATACAAGGGCCTGGGCCACCACTAGAACAGAATAGAGAGTGCCCTTCAGGAAAGCCCACCTCCTCTGTGCTCAGCAGTTTTTATTTTTATTTCATCAGCATGTTCCTCTTTTTGAAGTGTGAATCCTGGTGACCCGAATGAGCTGTCTGCCTGGGCCCAGGCCAGCCGGACCAGGTTACTCTAGTTCAGAGGTGACCCCTGGGCCAGGGTGGGAGGAATGCCAGTTTCTTGGGTGGGGGCCTCTCAGGGCAGTCTCAGTCTGGCCTGCCAGGCCAACAGGTTCTCCAACTCAGAAGACTTCATGCTGAAAATAAACTGGGGCCTGTGTACCCCCTCCCTCATCCCTTTCGTAGCAGCTCTTTAAAAAGAGTAAATGGAGCCAAGTGTGGTGGTACATTCCAAGGCTGAGGCAGGAGAATCACAAGTTCAAGGCCAGCCTAAGCTACCTAGTGAATCTGAGGCCAGCCTGGGCTACATAGTGACACCTCTATCTTTTTTTTTTTTAATAAATTTTTATTAAGGATATATTCATGATGGGGGGTTCATAGTGACAATTCTGATTAGCTATATATTGTACACTACTTATCTCCCCCACAGCCCCCTCCCCACCCCACTTAAAGCAATTGCAAGAGGTTTTCTAGTTCTGTTTCATGTAGGTATATGAAGTCCATCTACCTTATACGGTCACCTTACTCTCCTTCCTTCACCCTCCCCCCTCCCACTTACCCCTCCTCACTCCTTCTTACCCCCCTCACTAGTATTCCCCCTCCTCCATGACACTGTAGCTTAAAACCACAAAACATAACAAAACAAAACAAAAAGAGTGAGGTCAGCATGCGTAGCCCTCAGAGTCCAGCAAGGTAGGATTTAGGTGTCTTGGCTTTGACCTTTGCCCATCTGAGGCTCTGCTAAGGTTTGATCTGCTGCAGCAGAACAGGATGGTGAGTCTGGCTTAATACCTAGGGCTCAGCATAGTGACTTGGGACATGCTCCCTCCCTGGGATTGCCAGGTCAGCAGTGACTGCCCCATGCTGGGGGAGGGGCGGGGAGGGTGGAGGTTTAGAAACTCCTCTTCTGGCTGATGTCCCAAATGCACCTGATTCAGAGGGAAGATGAAGAATATCTGTACCCACCCCCCAGCACTTCATACCAGGAACTGACTTAGGAGCTTTCCCTGTAGAGTCCAGGAGTTCTGGACAGCTGCCCTGCAGGCTTGTTCTCATGGGGGCCTTGTTTCATAGGCATCGGTGGCCCAGATGTGGTCCCTGAACCAGCAGCAATAGTGTCGCTAGGGCAGGAGATTGTGAGGTGTGTGTGTTTTCAGCCCCACCCACACTCTACTGAGTGAGAATTTGGGTGTTTTAACATGCCCCCATCCCTACCTGAGGCGATTCTGCTTCAAGAAAGCTTGAAGATTCCTCCCAAAGAGAACTGGAATTCAGCCCTGAGGTGAGGCTGGGCTCGGATCTCAGGTGTGTGGCCTTGGGCAAGTCAGGCAAGAATTCTGTGCCTCAGTATTCTGCATGTAGATTAGGGTGATAACAGGGCCTGCTTTTGGGGTTGTGTGGGATCACTGGGTCATGTATGTTCACACCAGCAATGGTTCTGGGCTTGTGGTAGGCATATGACAATTGCTTCCTATAACTCACTGAGTTAGCCAGCTTCCATCCTGGCTCTGTTTGACTTTGAGATTGTTTACTCATTGTATTATGCTGACTCTTCCTTAGAAGTCTAATTCACATAGGTGTGAAGACATCTAATTGTACAAAAATAATGCAGGCTGTTTGTAGGCCCAGCCTAGCAAGATTTCCTTTCTCATTGCTACCCCCAGTTGGTGTGCAGGGACTGCTGAGAGAAGGCTTTTACTAAGAACGGCATGGGTGTGCCTTTATTGATGAGATGTCTTGTCGTAGACATCACAGCAGGGGTGTCACGTGTTCTCCTTTCCTGCTGTGGGTACTTTCCTTCTATTCCTAGTTTTCTTAGAGCTTTTATCATGAAATGGTGCCTGCTGTGGGTTGCTGTGAACTTAATGTGGATTTCTGATCCTCTGTCTTACTGGGTTTAATAAGAAGTTGTATGGAGTCACTCCCGAGTGCCACAGGCCACAGAAAACAGCCATGCAGACTTCATTTGTAGGGCAAATCCATTGGACACTATGAGCTTTGTGGACAGACCTGTCCTGGTAATTAGCATGCTTCTTGACCATCTCCTGCAGGACTTACGGTGCCTACAGTCATACCAAAGGCTGGTTCAGAATCTGAAAGTTGAGAATCCTGGCCAAACATGATTCCATCTCATCATGACTACCAGGAACTTTTTGCAGATATGGAGAGTAACATAGTAAGTCAAGCATTTCCTTCCTAGCACATTGCCATTGGCCACCATCCCTGTGGGCAGTGCCCTACATCTCGTGGCACTCTCATTTCTGTCAGCATCCTGAAGCTGAGGGAGGAGCAGGGCCGGATCTGCTTCCTTAGAGTTGTCTCCTTGTGATCCTCTTGGGTACTTCCATTCATTAGACCAGATGTAAAGGCCAGTCTTCCTCTACATCTTGAAGACAGTCTTTTCCCAGAAGGCACAGGTCCTAGCACTCCTACCCTGACTAGACCTTTAATCAACAACTGAGACCCACTGGGCACCAGGCTCTAGGGAAAATATGCCATCTCCTGCCCACTCCGTCTGTCCTGGGAGCTGTGGCTTTGTGTCCCATCAGAGGGAGTGGTTAGTTCCAGGACTCCAATTCAGGCTTTGGGAGAATGGGCAGAGTGAGCTAGTTCAAGTCACTGAGGGCTAATTTTCTTAGGAAAAAAACCCTCCAGGTGACACAGCCCCATTGACTGCATGTCTGTGTGTTGGTTGGGACTGAGCCCATGCTAATAACAAAGGGTCCCTTGAAGGCTGGTAGAGTGGCTCAAGTGGTAGAGCACCTGCCTAGCAAGTGTGAAGCTCTGTGTTCAAACCCCAGTACCACCAAAAAACCAAAACAAATGCAAAAAGCCCCACAAAGGGTCCCTTGGCCCTGTTTACTTTGCCCACCATTCCTAGCCGCAAGGAGTAACATCTTTTGACGTTAGAAGACCATCCTAGTATAGTGTTACTAGCCTTATCTTCCCCACGTTCTCATCCTCAGTACCCTGTTTCTGACCATATATTCCGTCTACATATATCCCTTCTATCTCTCTTCCTCCTTTCTGATGGCTTCCTCTATATGACCACATCTGTCCCCAGTACAACTTAATGACCCCCCCACACCCACCATTCTATTCCATTTGCTCTGTCCTATCAAGTAGCAGCTAAACATGGTAGTGGTTCAGCTTTTCCTCACAGTTCTCAGCCTGTGAAGCTGGTTAAATTGCCTGCTCTGGCTCCTGTGGCCTTGTTTGACCAATTTCCCTATACCACCTGCTCAGGGGACCTCATAGGTGAGTTCACTATGGTATTCACTCTTGCTTGCTGGCAGTACAGGTGCCTCCCACTGCATGAAGCATCACCTGTGGCCATGCAGGAGCTCTGTACCTGTTCAAGAGAGTTCTGGAGGTGGATGGCACCTACCACAGGACCACCCTAGGGAGTCTCTCTGGGGTCTTATGGGAAGAACGTACTTCTTTCTCTGATTGCCAGTTCACTTGTAGATAGCGTCAGAGACACCATGGGGAAACGTCAAGTGTGGTCTCACTGACCTAGGGAAGCTGAGAGGATGGCTGTCACTGTTACGTTCCTCTCATAAAGGGAATTGGACCATAAGGGACTCATTTTTCCAGCCTCACAGGAAGTAGGCTCTGAGAGACTCCCAAGACCAACTGAACATAGTTGGGCAGTACATTGATGTAGACTTCCCTCTCCGTGAAGCAGAGGGAAGTTAGTGAACCTTAGCCAGGGGGCTCTCCTTTGCGTTAGTTTGCTGGATGCCAATAACAAAGGGCCACAGATCAGATGGCTTGAAAGTAGAAGTTTACTTTCTAACAGTAAGTTTACTTTCAAACTGGAAATTGGAGATTAAGGTATCAGCTGGGGCAAAGGCAGTGACTCATGCCTGAAATCCCAGCTATTCAGAAAGTGTAGGGCAGGAGGCCAATCTGGGCCAAAAAAAAAAATGGTATTGAGATCCCATCTCAACCAACAAGCCAGGCATGTTGGTGTGGCCTGTGATTCTAGCTATGAGGGAGCCATAGGTAGAAGGATGATGGTCTGAGGCCAGCCCCAGGCAAATGTAAGAGCCTATGTGAAAAATAATGAAAAGTAGAAAAAGGACCAGAGAGTAAAGCACCTGCCAAGAAAGGTCTTGGGTTCAAACCCCAGTATCACTAAGGAAAAAAAAAGTGGAGAGGCTGGGTAGTTTCTTCTGAGGCCACTCTCCTTGGCCTGTAGATGCCACCTTCTCTGTCTTTTGTCCTCACTTGGCCTTTTCTCTGTACTGTTTCCAGATTTTCTCTTCTTTGTTTTTGGTGGCACTGGGGTTTGAACTCAGGGTCTCACACTTGCTAGGCAGGCGCTCTTAGTGCTTGAGCCGCTCTGCCAGCCCCCAGATTTTCTCTTATAAGGATACCATTCGTACTGGATTTTTATCTTAAGGCCTCTCCAAATATCGTCAGTCACATTCTGACATTACTGGGGGTTATAACCTTTCAAGAGACACAATTCAGCTCATGACACCTGGGTCTTCAGGAAAAAAGCACCTTGCTCTGGCTGGCGCTTGAGGGGACAGTTCACTCAGTGCAGGGGATTAAGGGAGGCTGGGGGAGGATGGGAAGGGCAGCAAGGATTAACAAAGAAGGGATGTGTGTGAAGAGGAGCTGGAGGGGATAGGGTCACAGGGATGCCTGTCCTGGGGATACAAGGTGACACGGATGGTGTCTAGCAGAGCCTGGCACACATGGGAAGCCTTCAGTAAATACTGTTACTTGTTCAGCCTTTCCCCCCTAACCCCCATAGAAGAGCAGATGGAAGTGCTCTGCCTGGTTTACTGCAGAATCCTCAGAACCTCAAATACTACTGTGGCTCAGAAGTATTTGTTGAGTGAATACATGAAAACATGAGGGCCAAACATTAAGTACTCAGTAGTTAAAATGGCAATTTGGTGTACCAGTAGAGACAGATTAAAGGAACATCTCAAAAGCAGCTCTAGCATTTGTGGGACTATTAGGTGATGCCAGGGCATCACGAATCAGTGGGAGAAGGGATGGGTAATTCAATAATTGACCGATGCAAAATAATTAGATCCTTCTCTCATCACATATATTTTTAAAATTCCAATTAGACACTTCAACCATAAGAAGAAACAGAAAATATTTGCAAATATCTCCTCTTTAAGGGAAGAGTTGGCTTTTGAAACACAAAACACTGCAGGAAAAGATCAGAAAAAGTACAGGGATTGGGCTGCTTTTTAAAATTAACTTTTGTATATCACAAACATTCAAAACAAAATTTAAAGTCAATGTTGAAAAGTTCCCTTAAGTGGCAAAAATGTTGAGAGCCTTTAATATATAAATTACTTATTTAAATCTAGAGGGGAAAACTCATTTCTATCTTCATAGAAAAATTAGCCCAAAGAAAGATTTAGATCATGCACAGAAGAACAAATTGCAAGCAGCCAACCAGTGTAGGAAGAATGTTTAACTTGTTGGTAATCAGAGAAATACAAAGAAAAATGAGATGTCATTTTTTGCCTATCAGGTAACACATCAGGGGTGGTGTTAAGAAAGGCCTTTTCCCAAATCGCTGCCTGGGAGAATAGCTGTAAATTGTTTTCTGACACACGGTTTAAAGAGGCTTAAGTATATATAAATCTTTTGAGATAGTAAATGCAATCCAGCCTAAGCAAAATTCAAAAATTGAAAATCAAGGAAATGTGAAAAATCTAAATACCCAGCAGTAGAGGAAATAGTAAACTGTGGTACACACCCATAGGAAATACCAGAAAGATTTTTTTCCCCTTTCTTTTGGAGGTGCTGGGTTTTGAACTCAGAACCTCATGCTTGGTAGGCAGGTGTTCTACCACTTGAGCCACTCTCCTAGCGCTTTTGGCTTTTAGTTACTTTCCAAATAGGGTCTTGAACTTTTCCCCCAGCTTGCCTGGACAGACATTCTCCTACCCGTGCCCACTTAGTGTGTGTATCACTGTGCCCAGCTTATTGGTTGGGATGGAGTCTCGCTAACTTTTTTTGCCAGGGCTGGCCTGGAACCATGATTCTTCCAGTCTCTGCCTCCTGAACAGCTGTGATTACAGGTGTGTACCAACATGCCCAGCCCTCAGCCTTTAAAAGTTAGTTTTTGAAGAATATTTAATACAGCAGTGTTCAACCTGTATTGCATTGTATCATACTTACTAATGTCTCATTGGCTAAAAGAAAGTCACATGACCAAGCTCAGATTTAGTAGGAACAGAGGGAAGTGCCAGTGTAACCACTTAGTGTATGTTCATAGCATAATTGCAATTCATACACACGGGACACACAGCACACACACACGTGTGCAAATATACCAGTATCTTATCAGTGGTTATTCTCTAACTTATTATTCTATGTTTTTGCACAGTTTCCTATTTTATCATCATAAACAAAAAGTACACCTTGAATTAAGAAAGTATGGCTTTGGCCAGCCAAGGTATCTCATGCTTGAAATCCTAGCTATTCAAGAGGCAGAGATCAAGGAAGGATCAAGGTTTGAGACCAGCCCAGGAAAAAAGTTAGGCTCCATCTCAACCAATAAGCCGGGTGTGTGGCGTGAGCCTGTGATTCCAACTGTGAGTAAGACATAGATATAGGATCGTGGTCCCGGCTGGCTCCAGCAAAAACACAAAACCCTACTTGAAAAATAACTCAAGCAAAAAGGGCTGGGGGCATTGTTCAAGTGGTAGAGCACCTGCCTATCAAGTGTGAGATCCTGAGTTCAAACCCCAGTACCGCCAAAAGAAAAAAAGAGGAAGGAAGGAAGGAAGGCCTGCCGGCCGGCCAGTCTATCTC